GTGTCTCCCACCCGTATTTTTTTCTGTTGCTGTGTACTTTGTTCTGTGCTATTTTTGGTGAAATAAATGAAAATCGTAAATGGTTCGAATAAAAGCACTAGATAAATACGACCAACGCAGAGTACACGCACGCATGCCGAAGAAGTGCCTCGTTTGTGCCAGACAAAAAAAAAGCACTAAGTGAATTTATTGCGTTACAAGCGAATAATGAAATTCATTTGGGAAAGTAAGAGGAAAAATAAACGAAAACTGCAATGGCCAGAACTTATTTCATGATAAATTAATTGAGTTTTTTTTCGCTTTCTCTTCGCCACCCTTTTATTTCCAAATAAGCTCCTGTCTTGATTTTCTCAGCACTATAATGAAATTGTCTCCGTGTTTGCCAGAAAATGAGTGAATTATGCTGAAAAAAATAAATAAATTAAGTTAAAGATTGCGTGTGGAATATTACACTGATTTCGAAGTCAGTAGACTGGAAATCGCATCACAAGTTAAAATCGCTTCGTTCTACATTTCGAACTTTGTTTATTTTTATACTTGACGTTTTTTTTTTTTTGGCAATTCCAACAAAAACCATTGAGAGGAAATGGTTGGTTCTCATGTGAATGTTCGTTTTAAATGTTATTTATCATGTCTGTGGATGGTAATTTACCCGTACAGCACATGCAAACACATTTCCGTCGGTAAACATTGCCAATTTAGTAGTTTGGTTTCTTTTTCTCTTTCTTTTTTCCCCGTCTCTGCTCTTCGGTACCTCAGTCCGGTAGCTAAGAAATTATTTGTAAGACGGAAGCATTTGTAAGACGGAGTGTTAACCATTTATATTTAGCGTTACACAAATAGTTCTTATTCCACCTGATTCTATTGTGCTCTCGACTTCTGTTGATTCTGCAATAATAAATGGCTTGACTCGCACCCAAAACGTGATATATCGATTTGTATACGTAAAAAATTTCAATTGATTCCAAAAACGAAATAGTTTCTTCCTTTTATGATTGCGACAATTTAATTTATTTATACTAGGTATATATATATTTGTGCCTTGCTGTTTCGTATACAGAAGCAAATGCGGCGGAAAATAACAAAATATGCTCTCCAATCAATGCAAGTCTATTATAAGAACGAAACCTAGCCCAACCAAAAGCTACTGTTCAAAAGTAGATTTTTGTGATAAAACACACAATCATATATATATATACACAAAAGAACGGATACTCAGTATGAATACAATTTGAAAACTTGACAAAGCTATTGATTCTTTGACATTTCAGTTTCGTTTATGATTTTTCAAAGACATAGGAAACCAACTCAATTTCCCGTGTTTTGCGCAGCACAAAATTTTTTATTTCGACATTTTGTTGGAAGCGTCGAAATTCATTTAAATTTTGTACAAGAGAAAGACATGAAAAAACCGCATGTATATATGATTAAAAACGCTTTTAGGCAACAGAATCGAATAAATAAGAGATTGACAGTGATGAGTATAGAAATTTGAAAAATGGAATAGCGAAAATCATCTGTGATGGATTCAGATCATGAAATCATCATGAACACAGACGCACTCTTTCTCACACATTCACATACACGCGCAAATAGACAAAAACACACAGGCATATTTTAAACTTGATTAAATCGATGAATAATAAATTAGAGTGAAAATGCGAAATGCGGATGAGAAGAGCGAAGCGACTCTGAAACATAAACGAAATGATGCGAACTTCCCAAAATCTTCTCTATTTTTAGTATATAAATAATAGATGAAGTAAAACTTTATATCATGAGATGCCATTCAGTTTTTTGAACTCCTCCGGTGCCCACATGTCGCAGCTGGTTATTAAGCACGCTACTGTTTCTTCACAACACTTTTTGGTATAGGAAAAGATATATCTGCTCAGTGCTCTAAAAAGGAATGGAGATAAGTGGCACTTGGAATGAACCGAAATGGTATTTCTCTCGACTGTCGATGTGCATGCTGTATGTGGAATTTTTAGGGCCATAGCTTTTGATCCATCTTCCACGCATTTAACGAACGATGTGTGAAAATTCGTAGGCACAGAGACACACACGTACTCTGTGTAACACCTGTATTCAGGCTGCTATTATTATAAGCGACATAACTGAACGAATTAAAATAAAACAAATTACGGGCAAAAATGAACATTTTCAGTCAGGCAGAAAGGAAAAAAACACCATTTATATTTAAATGATTGGGAAGAAACCGATTAGAAATTGATAAGCTCATATACCTTTATCGACACTCATTTTTAAAATAAGAATCGAATTATATATTCACATACACATATCCCTCGCTCGATGCTCACAATGATGCGATATTCATTGTCAATGACACATCCGAATTGAATAAAAGTGACGTGATACCCGCTCCCATTTTATTTTCATAATTGAAAAATTACATTTGACAGTTGAGTGATGGATAGGATTTACATATTTATATGATTTAATGTGAGCTGGGTTTTTTTCGTAGTTATTTTTGATCTCCTACTGTTTTTATCTTTTTCTAAAGAAGTCTGCCGTGATGCGCCCGTGTTACTGACGTTTATGAAGTTATAAATATGTACGGCTGAATGATATGTGGATTGCAAAATGGCAATCGACTGTTCGGTGGGACAAGTGATCATCTGAAAATGATGTGCTGTCAACAGCACATCAGCTCCAATCATTGTCCAAATCTTCCACACAAACTTTGCATATCGAGCTGTTCTACTCCATCAAAACTTTGTTCAATTTAAATTCAATATTTCTGAATTTCAATGGCAAAAGCTTTGCCTTGCATTTTCGTAGAACAATTCCGGCACGCTTTGTTTCGTTGGGATATTTCGATGGTCGACAAAGCGGAATGTCATTAAAAGTTCAAATTTATGTATAATAATTTTTAAGGCCAAATTTAAACAACCCACGCAGTGCAAAAGTGATTTTTTTTACATCAAGTGCTGGGCGACACCAAGGATCTGTTTTGCTGTGCATAATCCCTCATCCATGTAATTGATATATGGCAACAATCTGTCTCTATATGTCATCTCGTCGCGGGTAAAATGCCTGACGAAAAGACAAGCCAATTGTCCGACGGTAATTATTATGTGCATGTTCAATGCGGGTTTAATATCCGCAGCTATTCAAATTAGACAGATTCGTGACAATGCCGAATCATTTTTTTTTTCGAATGAATTATTCAATTGTGGTTTTTTTTTTTGAAAAATTCAAAAACATGCGAACACATTTCGATTATCAATTCTCTTTTCGACATTTCGGATTTTATGCGCGCGTTTTGCCTTTCGCAAAACGCTTTCATTTAAAAAAAACTGATGTCTGATCGATCGCACGCTTGTCATGAAAAATATACACACGCCTGTTTTTGCTCATTTTCAGTAGAAAATTTAAATAAGAATGGAGAAAAAGTTTTATGAAATGGATTTATTTTTAAAACACGGAGCGTTGTGGAAATTCTCACGCTTTTTCACCGTTCGCCAAGTGAATTAAAAAAAATGTAAATATTTAAAATGGCTCAGGATCAAACATTTACATTCAGCGAATGATACTAATTGCGCTTCAAACGAGGCTTGCCGATTCGGCATGGCATTTTCCTCTTCCACCCATGCTCTATATATCTGTGTATGTGTGTGTGTGTGTGTGTCGGTCTCACACCATTTGAATGGCGTTTCAGTTGGATTGCAAGCTATTTGCATTCAAAATATTCAAAGCAAAGCCAAAAAAACCGTTGAAAGCGATTGGCATCCAAGATTTCGTTCTTATCAAAACCATTTTACAGTAACCATATGTCTGCGTTTTGGTTGCGAGTTGATTGTTACTCGCTTTCTTTTGTCTATGCTTTAATTTATTATGCCCAACACTTGTGCCTGTTTTCATTTACTCTCTTTCCCTCTCTCGCTCTTTTTGTGTGTTACAGATGCAGTGGTTTTGATAAATAGCCGCCAGCAATTGAGCGTATCATTTTTCATTAACTTTTTCAATGGAAAATTTTAGCCGATTTTTCATATTCTGTACACTTTTCGAAAAGTTCTCGTCTTTCATTCTGCCTATTATTCCAACTCCTCTCTCTTTCTCTCCGTCTGATAAACCGACGTGGTGAATGAAGCGAACAAAATTTTCAAGATAAAGACAGAAAAATCAACAAAACGTAACGACATAAAAAAATAAACAACAAAATGAATTGAACAAATGTTGGAATGAAAAGAACAATAAAAACATTTCTTTCTCCGAATTACAGTTCATTCGTTTAAAAAGAAACCTCGACTCATTTCACTTTTCTACGAACCACAACCACAGCAGTTGGAACAGAGCACCATCTTCCAATGAGCGAACCAAAAATGAAATGAAAAAAGAAAGCAACTGACATTAAGAAATAAATTATATGTACCCTAAAGTTGACCATGCCAATACACGACCAAACTTATACAACCGCTCGAAACAAGAGCGCAGTGCTACAGTGATATCCGTTGTGATTGTGTGGATAACAGGGTTTTTGTTCATCACAATTTAAAGTTTGCCTTTTTCCGTCGCAAATCATTGGGCAGGTAGGTTTGAAACACCAAAAAAGGGAACATCCATTTGTGTCGACCATTTTTTTTTTGCAAGAGTTCACGAACGAACAAAATCAATCAAAATGACCACTTTTACGATGAAAATACTCTGATAATAATCACTTTGAATTAGCTTAATGACTATAGTTTGATGCTCCTAATTTTAATATTTGTGATGTTCAGACGTCTGACTTGGTTACGCACGCGATACACTCTCTTTCGAAACACGACTTGAAATGATAACAAAAAAAAAAAACATTCGACCATCTTGTGACCAATGACATTGGTTCCAGATCCCCATATGAATCATGAAGTTGATATTTTTATGATTATGTGACGTCTTTTTTTATTGCTTTTTTTCCATTGTTTGTTTCTGAATTTTTTCTTATTTTTCTATTTTTTTCATTTCTAAAAGGATTTACCGACCGAGATTGCGTTCCATCCATTGTTAAGCCAACATAAATTTCGACCAAATAAAGTGGCGATTGAATGTGTCGAAAGAAAGGCAAACAACTGAAATAAAAAAACGAGCAAAAAACAACACGTACAAAATAAAACGCAGTGGGAAACATAGAGAGTAAGAGTACACGAATTTGTTTTCAAAGCATGCAATCACAGCAACGGATAGCATAAAAAACGGAAAATACAGTGATTTTCAACTCAAAATCCAAAACGAAACTAAATTACCAAGTGCGACATTGTGAAACATTTATAGTGTGTGAACAAGAAAATGTGAAAAGTTGCATTGAAAATCAATTAAAAGCATTCGTCGCATGCACTGATTGTATCTTTTTGCACCCCATGTGTCATTTTAATCCGTTGTGTGGATTGGTCTTTCTCAGTGTGGCAAAAATTTAAAAACAAAACAAACCGGACACACGCACATACATACATATATTTGGGGAACACGAGGAAAAAGTAACGCATGCAAAAAAATACGCAAACTGAAATGAAACCCAAGCTCCAAACGAAATACACGCACATGCAATGAAAAGCCAAATTGATGAGCGTGATAAAATAACAGCACAAATGTGTTTGTGAGCTTTGCAGATAGAATTACCCCCAAAAAGAGGAACGAAAAAAAAGAAGTGAGAGGAACCCATGTGGAAAGAAGCAGAAGTTGCAAATGATATTGTAGTTTATGTATGACACGAACAAATGGGAATTTATGCGGTTTTTATGTGTTTGTTGAGAGAGTTGAATTGAAAAGAAAGCAAGGTCAAACAACACAAAAGTGGCGCACACCGTCAACGTAAGTGTTTTATATTTGATTAGTCGAACTAAAGGGGAATCGAAAAAAAGCAAACGGAAACACCAACAGAAATCATCATCAAGCCAGGTAATAAAGAGAAAAAAATTTTACTTGAATCGAATACGAGGCAGTGCAGTGGAAAAAATGCCAAATTCAGACAACGGTCAATGCAAGTGAAAATATAAATGGAAAATTAAAATAAATTCAAACAATAACAATAAACTAAATGAGTAAAACGCGAATTTGAACGATATTTTACATGAAAATTAGAAGAAATTACGAACTGAATATAAAACATTCAACTCCGAAAAAAACGCATACGGCTTTACGGGTGAACCATACAATGCTTTGTGTTGTGTAAGGTGGATGAAACGAAACGGTACGTTCATTGACACGACCGATTCATCCTCATCAGTGTGCGCGCGTTCAATATACATTGTACAAACAAAAGCGGTCAGTTACATTTCTACCGAGCAAGTAATGAGAGTGCATGCACTTTGGCCAAATAGCAAGAGTAACAAAATACGACACCGAGTAGTAAAGACAACGCTGTACGATAGCACAAAACGAAAATAAGATTCTCCGTTGTTTTTGCTGATATAAATACCAAAATTCATAACAAGAGCAATTTTGAAAGACGGTGCAAACGAACGCAAGAGATGATCGAAACAAGGCAAGCCGTAGCATAGGAGCAAAACGTCGACAACGAAAAAAAAAGTACAGTGCAGAACAGCACCAAAGCGTTTGCTCGTGTTTTCTGACGCAAGTGAGAAAATCATCAAGTTGCTCTTTTTTCTCTTCTAATCAACACCGCCGCATCCAAACACAATCACACTCGAACTCACGAACCCTTCCCCGGTGCTTCTTTTCATTCGGGTGCTTTGCCCGAAATAAATAATAAACGTGTGATTTCTGTACGTTTGATTTCTTGTGCAAATCGTGTGTTACACTACTCCTCACGTATGCACTACAACAACATCTACGATCTGCTGCCATATAAAATATTAAAGATAAACGAAACGGTGAAAAATTGCATAATCAAGGACCGAACGTTTGGTGAAATGCTTAAGACTTCAACCAACTGATAATTCCATTTTGAAACACTGTGTAAATAAATCGTAATTTTCTATTATTTTTGCACACAGCATGCATAATGAATTCGAAGCTGTCAAGTTTTTGATTGGACACCACCGCAGAGCAGTGAATGAGCACATGAAATGCGGTTGGAGAACAGAGCAACGCTAATGCGCTGCACAAAGTGAACAAAAGTGGCCAAGTAGTACTTGTAAGCTGTGGAAATAAAAGGCAAAACATGCATGTGAGCGTATCTATCTGTGTTTGTGAATAAAAAATTTCGCATTTTCAACATTCGACCGATTAAGAGACAGGATTAATTCAGCCAGATTGTGTGCATTGTACAAAACGGATTGTTGGGACTTCCATTTGGATCGATAAATCGTGTCACTTGGTCTGTCATTTTGTGGTCTTGAATGAACATTGACCGCTGTCAATGAGTGTTTATAAATTAATGATATTGGGACTAGGTTAAAATACCAGTGGTCGATTCCCAAATGTCTGTATAAGATGAACGCCACGAGACTAAAGAATAAATTTGCTGTGTAAATCCTTTGTCTTGTCAAAGTGTATGCCAAAAACGACAACGACAACATCATCTGACTTGAGCAGATTTAATCAAAATAGACAAATCCCATAGCTGGCGACAATATCAAACCGAACGATCAAAATCCAGTACATTTCATTCGGAAAAATTCACCAAAATCCAAATAAAACGCTTTCAAGCGCCAGAAGGAATTGGGACAATAAAAACGTCAAACAAAGCCCACAAATCTAAATCACTCGCTCTCGCTCTCTCACTCGCTATTTTTTACCAAGTTCTTGTGCAATATCAACAGGCCAATTTAAGCAAGGCAGCTTAAAGCGCGCACAACCCAAGAACAACAACAAAAATACATCACATTTAAATTATTAATCATTCGAGATCAACCGGATCAAATATTATGCTCAAATATTCGAATAAAAAACTGTTAGGCTATGTTTGTGATGCTGTCAGTCCGTACTACTTCCGTTTGTGAACGGCACAATAAAGTGACAACAACAACAACAACAACAACAACAACTGCCAACACCACCACAACGACAGCAACGACAACGACGACGACGAGCAAAACGACCAACACACAAAACACGCAGACGACTCAAAGTCAGCTAGATTCGGCCGTAACATCATCGTTGACCACTACATTCGACAATATACTGATCAATAAAAACAGCATCGAAAAAATTTTCACTAAATCCGTATCGTTCGATAAGAATATCAATCAGTCGAATTTATCGCTAACCCAGCCGAACAATTTGAAAGAACCACCAGCACAACAGGTAACACATTTCCGCTCTCTTTTTTCCCCGCATTTCTCTAAATTCGTTTCCGTAACATTTTTTTTTTTGCCTTTCATTTTCGATTGAATTGCTCGGTTGCTATTTGCTTGGTCACACGTCCGCTGGGGAATCGGAGTTTCAATTGAAATTTGCTCCATCGACTTTGTTTCAGAAGTGCTTTCGACAATCGTAAATGTTTCATTGATTGCGAACATCCGATATTACATTCGATTCCATTTATATTGTTTCGGTCGGAAATGGTCTCCGATTAACTACGGATTATACATAATCTTTGTTTGTACCTGGAAATGAATTGAATTTACCAATTAAATGCTACGATTTTATTTTACTAGCTTAAATACTATTCACGGGACTCGAGTGTTGCTTGGATTCATTTTATTATCGTCGTTTGCAGAATTTTTGCAAAGTGAGTGGGAAAATATTGCAAAACTATTTGAACGGCAGACAACATCTTTGTGATAAATTTTTTGTTTTGCTAAAGAAAATAGTTGTTTTTCTTTCTCTTCTCAGCATTCGCTTAGATTTTAAACTATTCAAAGTTTTCCACTGATGTGCGGATTTCGGATTATCATCCGCTGAAATTCTACAATATTCTATTCTCTACCATAACGTCAAATTGAAAAAGTTGAGAAACGAATTAAATATGTAGCACTGCTGTTTAAATTAACTAAAAGAGTCGTCGGGCACATTCGAAATGAGTTCGAAAGAAAGGTGAAGGTTGCCACCAGTCGAAATATAATTTAATTTCACAAATTATTTTACTCAAACTTTGTACGCGCATTGTTTAACAAAGAAGTTGAGATTTATTAGACAAATTCCGCATGCATGGGTAAGAATATATTAAACTTAAACTATTTTCGAACGATTTCCGTTTGCCTAGTAACAAAGTCACATGGGGCAATAGACAATGGCAAACGATGCGCATTTCCTCTGACCGAACAAATGGCCACGGGCTGTAGCTGTCAAAAGAAATTGTTTATTGACTTCTCGATGAATACTCTCATTTTTCCAAGAAGAAGAAACAAGTTATTGTTGGATCTAAACCGAATTTCCTCTTGACCATTTATCATTTGTTTTTTCCGTTCGCATTGTCTTTATTCTATTTGTTTAGGCATCAGTTGCAACGATATTAAACGATTTGAGTCCAGCACCGTCAAAATTCCCAAACCAAAAAAGCTTTATTTCAACTAGCCATATGACCCACAAGGGATTTCAAGAAAATACGCCGGCAATGCGGTAAGTTTATGTGTGCTATTTTTTTCTCTTTCCTTCTCGCTCACTTCATTTTGTTTGTTCACATCGTACACATTCGATCAATTCATATTTTGTTGTAATATGTGTCTTTAATGAACGAACCAAATGATATTTTGTGCGAACCACACACATACAAATTGAGCAGGCTTCATTCGAACCGCACGTAAAACCAACAAGGAATATATCGTATGCATATTGTATACCAACATGATTGCCTCACACTTGGTCGACGAGAATAGCAGCAAGAAAAAAATCATATTTTCAAATGAATTTTCGGTTTCCTGTCGAAAACTACACACACACACACACGCACGCATATTCAAATCCAGCCGATATGTGTACACAACTCATGATTCATTCCAGAGCTGTTATAGGCACCCAAAAAGAGCTGGTACCGAAATAGGTGCGCACGCTCTTTATAAGTGCCGGCACCCAACACCATGTAATGTTCAAGTGCCGCACTCAATAATTTTTTTTGTATTTTGGAACATCAAAAATCACAAAAAAATTAAAATTATTATACTTTATTCATTTTTTTTAGTTTTTACACAGTTTGACTACGTCAATAATCAAATTCATTGTTGAAACGTCAAATTTTGAGTACTGTCAAATTCAGTATATAAGTGAAGTCAAATCATGTGTTAATATGAATTAGACAGTTCTCAAAATGTAAAAACTAAAAAACAATGAATAAACTAAAATAATTTTATTTTTTTTGTGATTTTTGATGTTTTAAAATACAGAAAAAAATATTGAGTGCGGCACTTGAACATTACATGGTGTTGGGTGCCGGCACTCATAAAGAGCGCGCGCACCTATTTCGGTGCCCGCTCTTTCTCGGTGCCTATAACAGCTCTGAGTCATGAATCGGTTTAGTTATTCGATTGCTATAGCCGTAAACCAAACTTATCGATCGATAAAGATACATAACGTTCAGCAAAGTACATCCGTTCAACGTTGAATCCAATATTCAGCAATAATAATCATCCATTCAAGCTTGACTCTTGATGAAATGACCACTTGTTATGGAGTGCCCACTGCCCAGTACCACAGATACATACTATTATATTCATTTTTCTAAATTCATCCAAGCACTTATGCACTGGCGCTGAATAAATAATATCCCTCTCTCCCATTCTCAATATCAATTTGGCTAGAGCCAAATACGAACGATTACGCATAAATGTGTGTATCTTTTTTTCATTCGTCTGTACCGCTTGTACCGCTGTTTATAATCCAGTAACTTTTAATCAATGTGAGAGCGTTTGCACACCGGAATTTCATAAGCATAAGCATACGCGTAAATATTTATGACGCAGTTAAAACCATCAAATTCTGCATTCGATTCGTTTTTCTATTTAATGTTTTATTGTTAATTCGGGTTGAACACAGCCAGCCTCATGCATATGTATTTTAAATGAAAAATTCCGGGCTTTAAATAAATTAGTAGAAGTATACATTCCATACTCGCCAAAAATGTGATGCATGACGCAGCATTTGCAGGCGCACCGTAACATCAACTACATTGATGGTTCACTGGGGGGAAATGAATGCGAAAGACGTTTCGCAGATGTTATCAACATTCGCAATGCAATATTTGAAGGAAATAAAAATGAAAATAGTTTTCTACGGTGTTGAAGACTTTTCTTATGTTTATGCTCCAAGGAGAAATCTAATTCCATTCGAATCCTCGCATATACATCAATCAACAATACAAGTGCTTTGCATCCCTTATCGATTTTTTTTTTCTTTCGCTCTCTCTCTCTCTCTCTCTTCCTATCACTCTGTAAACTTCTTGTTTTAGAGTCGATAGAACCTTCCACTCTAAAAAACAAGGAGAAGAATAATCTAATCAATTTAAATGGTTACGCCGAATTTCACGAATCATGGACAAATGCTTCTCTCCTTTCCATTGCGCACACACACACATATACACGCAAAGAACAAAGCGAAAGCAAAGGCAAATGAATAATTCACCCGAACTTTTCCTTTCGAATTGCAAACCAAACTGCTTTCTGCAACTGTTTTGGCCGAGAGCAAAGGAAACACACTCGAACCGTAATTGTTTGACACAGTTTGCGCCACAATGGACCAATTTCATGGAAATATTCAACCGAACAATAAGTGACGAGAGCACTTTCTGTTTCTTTTTTTCTTCAACGTAATATCCGCCATGGATTTCGATCTTGAAAATACTGTATATGCAACGAGATGAATGCTTTTATGCTTCTTTAATACCAATGGTAATTTAATGTGCAACATTCTATCGTTCGTATGAGCAGCTTTGTGGAACAATTGAATTCGACGGCGGATTTGCGCTTTTCCTGTCGAACATAAATTGAATAAAATCGCTCTATCGAGGTAAAAAGTTGGAAATTTATGAAAATCACTAAAACTTATTGCCAAGTGTTTGTGCCGTGAAAAGTTTTTCCAACGAACGAACAAACGAACGAACGAACGGCACTTGGCCAAAGCGACAAAACGATAAGTCATCCATACTATACACCGAATGGAATATTAGCAAATGCAGACAAATTAAGGGAGGGAACAGAAACGTTTGCTCTATTAGCCGGCTAATAATGGTTTTCGTTGTCGTTTATGAAGACATAATTGCTAACAATTTATTAATAAAGTTCAATGTATATAGTCACTGTGTGCGTGTGTGTGTTTGTGTCGATTCCGTCTTGGTTTTTTTTGAATAGTTCAAGTCAATAAAAATGCCATTTATTTCAGCCCCAGCAATATATGGGTAATCGGATCAGGTGGGCGCAGATGAACACAGTGTGTGAGTGCTCGATGATTGATGAATAATGAAGACAATTCAAATGAACTTCGTCAATCATTTATCGATTATAATCACTTCCAATGAAAAATTCACATGCGGCTTTCACTCATTCCGATTGTTCAATCGACTTGCAAACGATCTGAACCAATTTCAAAGGCCATATCAAACAAATCATTTCCGCCATTTAAATGTTCAAATGTGACTATAGAATCAAATCAAATTCAACAACAAAAACACGAAACATAACTAAACATGATCTAAAAACAGGCCGTTCACTCTCGTTTGACTGCAACTAGTTTGTTTTTTTTTCTATTTTCACAACGAAAGTACAACAAACTTTTTTTTTAATAGAGTTTTGTGTTTATGTCAGTGACTTAGATTGAAAATCGACGTTTAAGTTTTTCATCCAAAAATGTCTAGTTGCGTTTTGAATTTGTTCGTTTATTTTTCGCTTTATTCAGCCCTTGTTTGGTGCAAGAAATTCGCTGATGGAAGTGTGTCGCATCGTGCCTTTAGGCGATAAGCCGATGTCAGGCCATAAACTTATTGTTGATTTTGCTTTTCGCAAAGCTTTCTCGATGTGATTTATGGTTTGTTTGTTCAAGCAAATTCTGTGTAATCGTTTAATTTGTTTGTGACTTTCTCCCCGTTCTCTCGTGTCGCTTTTCAATTTTCAAACCATCTCTGAATTTTTTTCCTCGCCCATTGGAATTTGCAGGTACTATAGGCTTTGGATTTACACATGCAACGCTGTGCTATTAATGGCAGTCATAATATTTTGTTGTGTTGCCGGCAAAGTCTTATTAGCCGATTACCGACGACTGTTAATACATGGACTGAATTTGGGTCAACCGAGCTTTGTGTATGCGTATTTGGCATTGCTCATACAATCGGGTAAGTTTAATTCGCTCATTTCATTCTCATTCACATGCCACAAATCCGTGCAGTTGACGCATTATCAACCTTTTAATGAACACTATAAAGCTAGTGGTATACATATATGCATACGGTCATCATCCGTCGTTTTACGAGAGAAAAAAAAACAAATCTATTTGCAAACACGAAGACCGTAAGCGTGAACGACGCACTTTCACTTATACTCAGTCAATCCGAAGCGTGTTCGACCATTGCATTTACAATGGTTTTGATACGTGGTATTAATTACATAAAAGCAAACATTGTGTTAACTCCACTGTAGGATGCATACAGTGATGGTAAATTTATACGACGAACACAAATACGATGTTAGTTCGAGATTTTCCCTCAACAGTTTTCCATCGATTTAATCTAATTTAGAATGTTGAATCGCACGACGGAAATGTATAACCGCATAAATAAACTCGTTTTCTCTCTCTCTCTCTCTCTCTCTCTCTCTCTCTCGACAATGACACAAAAACATTTCCACCAAGTCGTTACACGTTTCGGATATGAACACACAAACCAAACCAAAAGAACTATGTAGATGCTTTCTCGAATTTTCCATATGCTTTTAATGAATTCAGTTTTGGGTTTCCATCGTGGAATTTACATTTTACAATGTGATGTAAAATGCCGCAGCATTCAATCACTTGATGCGATTTGTGTTTTCATTCATTTTAATTAATATCTCCCGCTAATGATTTTTGAATTAATGGCGTTTTTATTTCTCAATCTTCTTTGTTTCCCGTTTGCACACAGGGTTCTTGCAATTAGTCGGATGCTTAGGTGCCTTACGTCTATCGGAAAAATTGCTGAACGCTTATTGGTTGCTGCTTCTGGTATTGTTGATTGGGGACGCGGTGCTTGGGATATTCTGGATGTTTAAATTTGACCGAATCATGCACGAACTTCAACCAATGCTTAGGTACATTTCAATTTACATTAAATTTATTTCCAATTTTTCGGGCTGCAGTGTTGGCAGTCGTGTCTCATTAAAAATTGGTGCACATTTTGCATAAATGCCACCACCACAATAATGTGCCCTACACTCAATGCTATATATTAACATTTTCCATATCATTTACATATCCACATTTCCACAGATATCGTTTAGCAACCGAATATGGAACGTCCGTAGATTTTAGTGAGTTATGGGATCGTCTGCAGAATGAAAATCGTTGCTGTGGTGTATTTGGTCCGCAGGATTTTAGTGCGACTGCAAATCGTTCATATCCAACATCGTGCTGTTCGCCAGATATCAGCGATCAAATATCGATTTCGAGGCGACCAATGGCATCGGCCGTCGTATTTCGTGACGAATCAGCAGCTAGTGCACTTGCATCACAGGCCAAAGCCAATTTAACCGAATTAACCGATTTAACATGGAGCCATTTAGTTAACGATAATAAAGACGAAATCAAAACGGCCGCAGTGTGCCATGCCATCTATCAACAAGGATGTTTCGATAAGCTGGTCGCATGGTTACGAAACACCGCCGATATTCTGTTTGTGCTTGGCTATTGTGTAATCGCCTTTCTGAAATTGTCATTTCTCGGCATCTTGCGATACGAAATTAAAGAGATGATCCAGAAAATCAAGTTGCTGCAACAAGAAATGACGTGCGAAATGATGAGCGGTGACGGCGAAGCGATGCAGCAACAGCAAACGGTAAGAAAGCTCCGTTGGCAATGCAAAGGAGAAAATTTGCCTAATTGAAAATTGATTTCAATTTTGCTTGCAGGGCTGTGTTTTGCTGCAAATTCCCAGTACAACAGTAAACGGTGGCATACACACCGAACGAAAAGTTGGCAATCGAGAACGAGACCGAGAACGAAATCGCTTCGGATCAATGGGCGAAAGCGAACAAGAATCACTATTAGTTCATGAAAATACACCGAAATTCACTCGAAATAATCAATTGAACTTGTGCAGTGAACAAGGTAAATTAAGCTAATTACGAATAGAAATTACATTCAACTCTCTTTGGCGACGCCATCGCCATCGCCAAGGCGTTTTACATTAAGTACCGGCTTCGATTCATTCACACACATATATGCATAGATAGTGTTACATTTTGGATGTGAATACACATATAAGTCAATATGGTCGCCACTTCTTTCGCACTTTAGATGAAGGCGAAATTATTACTGGAGCAACGGGAACGCATTCGGGTCGTCCATTACATGGTAACAACTATGAACTATCTGAATTTGATGCGACACGAGGACCCACATACAGGTAGGTGATTGTAGCAATTGTCCACTCGATCGGTACTTCTAAATGAATTTCTTTCGTTTTTTTTTTTTTCAATACACCCGTAATCATTATGTCGATTCGATATTTGTTTGTCTATAACTCACTCTAACCCATAACTATGTATTTTTGATATCATAACAAAAAAAAATAACGTAATCAACCAGGTTTGACAATGTAACCAATGAGTAATTTTTGCATTTTTCATTCCAATTTAATGTTGTAGTTGTATCTGTAATCCCTCTGTCATTATTTTATTGCTTCTTTGTGAATCTTTCTAGAAAGTCTAAATGGCCATCCTTATGAGAAATACAGGCTTACATAGCTAGAGCACACAGCGAGTCCGAGCATATCCTATGTACAGAAATTTGTTCTAAAACAGAATTACCAAATTGAAAATTGAACCCTTTTTGTTGAATTGAAACATCCACCAAAATCCATTTTTCACAGTGCACGACCGGACACCAACACACTATCATCACCACTACCGTCGAATTAGTCGACTAAGCACAGGAACACTGAACATGCACGCACACTCACTCACACTCTTCTAGGCATCCCGCCGACACACAAACACTGCACCCATACACACACACACACACACAGCGAAAAGACGACACCGCATGATAAGACACACAATCTAAAATCCACCACGAAAACATTGAAACCAAATTAACAATACACACTGCAAGGATTTAGCTAGCAAAAAGAATGTCCCACCAATAGAAAATTCCCACCAGCACGTGCAACAAACCAACATACAAAGCACTTGTGTTACAAACTTTGCGTTTTCATTTTCACGTCTGAATCGTAGAGCTGTCAATTTGTATGCGATTATCTAACCCAAACACCATCCCACATGATGTTATTTTGATTTTCACGATAGCACTTTCACACAAACAAATACACACTCTCTGTTTCTCTCTCTCTCTCTTGCTCCCTTCCTTTCTATATTTCGCTGTACACTTCTGTTTTATTTTTATATGTAGTTAAATTGCAATAACTTAAAAACGAGAGTAAACTAGTTTTGCACAACAAGTTACGTACATTCTCTGTGAACAGTTGACAAGCACAAAACGAGAAAAATAATCAGCTGTACTTTTTTGACATTCCATTAAAATGAAACTGTGAGGGAAAAGTGTCATTAAATACAGGCCGACAACGATACGCGCGACCAATTGCATTTTTCCGTATCGGAAGCTACTTTCGGAACAGTAACAGTTTTCATTGAATTATTTTGCGACTACAATCAAAATTCCATGGCGCGTGTCGGTCGATTGGTCGGGCATTAAATGGCGAAAACGATGACGACAACGAAAGTATGGATTGTATGTTCAATATTGACGTGGAAAACTATGTGTAGAAACACATGAAAATGAAAAGGGGAAATCCGTTTCATGTGGACACGTCGAATTGGTTTATTGATGTTTGGGAGAAATACTATTTGTCAAGTGCTTCCTCGTTTGTCGGCGAAGGCAGGTGGATTGGTTGCAAAAAGCAAAACTAAAGAGCTTCCGCCATTTTAATCAGCTTACCTTCAAAAAGCAAGAATGGCCAATTTCCATCAATATTACAGCACAATTTTGATGCATTTCCTGCTAATGGTTCATAAAAGTTTCAAGTGCATTTCAAAGTAACCGAAAGCGAAACCGAATCGTTCATACATTGTAATGCATTATTAAATTTACTACCATGGATGAGTTGTCGTTATCGTCGTCAACATCGTTATTGTACTTTGTTTCCTTCGAGTCCAGCGTTGAGCAGAATGAAGGCAAAGTTTTACTTTTTGTTTTGGAAGTAAAACTATGCGTAACAGTAAAATCGATTCTTCTGCGAAAGCTTTTCTTTAAATCAACTTTAATTGATTTAGTTTTGCAACGAAAAAAGAGAAGAAAGTAATATCTCTTAATTTTTGTTATGAATTACATTTTGTTTGCGCAGAGCAGAGTCAATTGAGAATACAACATTCTAGCTCTCTTAAATCAACCAAATAATGGACTATTATAAAAGTTGGCTCGGCTCAATTTATCATGTGTTTGGCTACGGAGCAAACACATCGGCGATATTTCATGAATTGTTTCCCACTCAACACTCAATTCGGCAACCGAATCAACGAACAGCCGACCAGAAAAAAGGAAAGAATAAAAAGAACAAAAAATCTAATTCAAATGGCACACGAACTTGAATCAAATATCCATTGATTGTGGAACATTCGATTAATCAAACCAAGCTAAATATAACAATAGCGCTTCGATGTTGAAGTCACGTGCACAAAACATACTTGAAATTCATCACATCGTCTGATTGCGAACTTGGATTGAACATTCAGTTCAAATCGATACCGTCCCATCGGAAGCCTGATACATCCACACAAACACAAACACATACTATCACAAGCTCGAAGCACTCTCAGTTTTCAGTTTACTTCAGCACCCTCAAACCAATTATAAATGTTATTAAATTTTCTTTCGCATTTTTTCTTCATTTTTTTTCAACAAAATTTTTTTTTAAGTTCATTCATATATTTATTTTTATTATTGGCCACTCCAACTTATATACCTACTACTTACTACTTACTACTACCCTGTAACGATTGAGTAACGATAAAAAAATTCCCTCTACACCTCGATATTATTAATATGCATTCCGTATGATTTGATGTTTAGATTGTTGAAAAAAAAAAACATAACGTAAACACACGAACGTATTTGTGTCCACATTGTGACTATTACCACTTGACTATGTGATTTGTTGTATGTATGTATAGTAAATGCAATACGTACAATTATGTGGCTTGTGAATTTAACCCATGAATTGAATCCGTGCAAGCAAGAAATACGAGTTTTTTTGTCGTCCCGATTTTCCACCACGGAACAAAAAATGAACACGAAAACCAAATATATATATATATATTAACGTTGAAATCGAAAGCAAAATCATAAATGTGTCGTAACTGTTGTCCGAGTTAATTCACGAAACGTACATATTTTCATTGCGTATGTAAATTGCTGTTAATATCTATTAGTCATAACGTGTATCAAACGCCACTTGACTGACTATTATGTAATTTGTTCACACAATTTATGGTATTTAACTGGAGTAACCAAGATAATTAATTATTTGTTTTTGTGTTGTTCGGTTTTATTTTTCCGATTTTAATAATTTATGTTATTCGATTGTTTAACATTATTGTTTTCATTTCGTCCGATTCATTTCCAATATTGAATGTTTAATTTTCGCCTTTTTAAGTTGATATTCTCAATCAATGTTCAATGAGAGGTTCCAATCACACACATTTTAATTGTTCATTGCTTTTGTCCATTTGTTTTCTTTCTATTTCTATTTGCGCTTTGTTTTCGATCATCGATTGTCATCGGCGTCGTTGTCGTTGTTTATCATTATTCGAATGATTTAGTTACATCAGCACGCAGGCGGCAACCAAAATCTGACTACGGTATTACCTGGAACAGTTATTCGGTGGGCGTTGGCGTAAATACGGACGCTATTCTCGTCGGCGAAAGAAATATCCGAGCACCGAATACAACGAGCCAAATGTAAGATTCTACCAGGCGACTGCTACAACGGACTACAGCGAATGCGACTGCACCGATATCTAATCTCTCTCTAACTATCCCGATCTCTCGACAAAGCGATGAAAAATTCAAACGCGACAAACAAAAAGTTCAACTCGCATCCAAATGTAATTCTAAAGTCAAATAGTTTTTTGTTCGCACCGCCTCAATCAAAATGAATGTGACAGTATTCAAAAGCCGTCAGACATGAACTATACATAAAATCAACGTTGGGGGAAAATGTAAATACCCTCAAAAAGTTGCTGAACAGACAATGGAAACTGGAAAATAGGAAGCGAACCTATGACAACAACTGCACACGTATACACAATGAACACTCGACTTAATTCTCGTAGATTAATTGAATGAAGAAAAGTTGCACGCATTGGCAACTGCGAGTACGAGACTGAATTGCAAACATAAACCGGGTCATCTCACGATTCGTTTCGGCACAAATGTGAAAAAGTTGTGAACCGAAATTCGTTTGAAGCAACAACAAAAAAAAAACAGGCAAATCTAAAATATCAGAAATTCGAATAAGTTACGTGTTATAATGACAGGATTATCCAAGTGCAGAACAAATATTTGCATACATGATCCATAAATTTTTATGATTTTATATTTGAAATCAGAAAGTCTTAGAATAAAGCATAAACAATTAATCGATTCGCTTGTAAACTAATGAAATTGAACATGAAGATCACCGATAAGATATTATGTGGAATAATTATGATATTCTGAAATGAGGAAAGGGAAAAAGAAACGGAAAAAGAAAAGCAAATGTTAAGAATTGAGATAGGGCAACCATGAAAATACAGGCAAGGCATACGAATGATCTAATATATGCACAGTAAACACGATGGTTCTAACTTTTAGAACCACAATATGAAATTTGGCACTAAAATCCATTTAAGTACCATTTATACTGAAAAAAGTTCAAAATGTACTAAATCAAAAATCAAAGCCTCATGTATTTATTATAGAACTTTTGAACTTTTTTTAGAGCAAATGGTACTAAAACAAAGTCAAGTGTCAAATCTCAACATTGCTAGAATCATTGTGTGTACACATCTGAATCGTTTATTCAAATACAATTTTTCAAATGTCAATTCATAGTTTTCACTAAACGTTCATCAGAATCATTTCATACTCCTTTTAGTCCATGCTTGGAATTACTCAAATGATATTTTATTCGATTGCCTTAAATAGATATGATAGCAAAATGCAAGGATGGAAAGGACATGGAAAATCGAAAGAAAAAATTCATTACGCTTATTGAAATTATGATAGAATTTTGTTCTTTAGCTAAAATGATAAATTTTCTGTTTTATTTTAGACACAAAATCAGTCGAAATTCGAAACGACGAAATTGAATGTTGAAAATGGATGAGAGTTTAATGCAAATAAGCAGGATATTCATTCTAAAAGTTCTTTCACTTGATTATTATTATTGTTCTGTGTTGCAATAGAAGATTAAGGGTAATGTGAAAAGTCACGAACGAACTTGATCAGTTATGTTCAGTAATCTAATAGAAACTCTTATGTAATTCTATTGATAAAACTTATATTGTTGCGCATTTGACATATACAAATACGGAAGAAAAAAGTGCAGAAGAAAATAACCCAACAAAAATGTCTATAAACATTTTCTCTTTCTTTTTTTTTGTTAAGCTAAGTACACAGTTCCTTGTGAAATGAAAAAATTTCTCCGGTGAAATTTTCACAGGTGATATTTTTATGGTGTTTTTTATTTTCGAATTGCAAGCATAATGATTTTTGATGCATAAATCAGCTAACTCATTCCAATATCAACACGACACATGAACAAATTTGGTATTTGAGTTCATTCTTCTATGTGTTTTGTCTAAACAAATTTTTTTCACGGCCGTGAAAAAATAAGAAAGATCAAAATAAATTCAAGGATGAATTCAAAATTCAAATTTGTTCATGTGTTGTGTTGATATTGAAGGGAGTTAACTGTTTCATACATCAAAAATCATTATGCTTGCAACTCGAAAATAAAACAAACACCATACAAATATCACCTGTAAAAATTTCACCGGAGAAATTTTTTCATTTCACGAGGAACTGTGTACTTAGCTTTATGTCGAATTCAATACGGTAGCTTTTGAATTAAATTTTGAAAGCGAGATTCTTATTCCGCTTCATTTCATGGAACGACCGACAAAAACGAAGCAGAGAAAATCACACTCATATTCACTCTCTATCTTTGACGTAAGCTTGAACCAAGCAAGACTCAACTCTATTTTTCTATGCAATGGAAATTGAGATTTATTTAAGCTAAAAAAAGAGAAAAAGAAAAATGAACTATTGTTGTTAATTTGTTGAGTATTTTTATATAGAAATTAAATGTATATTGAATGTTCTCCCTTTGATTTTAGGTAAGCTTACATGACAACTATATTCTATGTCCTTGATTGGGCTCCCGACCCATGTGAATAAATATGATAGATATTTCGACGAGAGATTTTTTTTATATATCTTACTTCTCTCTCTCACACACACACACACACACTTACTCTTACTTACTCTATGTGAAAATCCCATATCATTTGGTATACTGAGTATGTTGATCGATTTGCTGGCTTCAATATACGATAAAAAAGATACATATTTAAATAGTTTTCGTGAAAATGCCTTTGTTGATAAGAGGGAATGAGAACGACATCGAATAACCGAGAATGAATTGATAGAATCGAGCAGAGTTCATTTTATTGAATGCATGACAGAAGCATACGTGCACAAGTATGCCAACGGCATTAATCGATTAATGAAACAAACCGTTTGACTTAGCCTAGAATACACACAAGCACACACTGAAAGTCAAGAATAAAATAAAAAAACATTCGAAAAAAGCGGTCTATGCAGCAGCAATAATTAATCTTCTGAAAATAGCCCACGAAATTACTTTCAGACCAAGTTCATTCAGAACGAGATCCGATGAGCAACGGCAAATTGTAGAATACAATTTTCGGTATTTTGGTGATACTACTATCATTTGTCTTGCTGCAACTAATAAACCTATGATAGACCTTTTTTAATATATATCATTACAATACATCTATCATTATTTACTTTAAAATTGATATTCTTGTCGATTGAATGTCGCCTGAGAACGGCCAAGCAAAATAACAACCAACCAGACACACCATCCCAATTCCGGTTAATTGTGCTTCAGGTTGTTTAAGATGTGATCGTGTGATACGGCTCAGTGTGCATTGCAATGTGCATTCTAGTTGACTATGTCCTTGTCCATAAGTGCATTTTTTTTTCCAAACAGAAAATCCAATACACATAAGTATAGCCAAACCAAATTGCGGAATACACACTTGCCAAGCTATTATTAGTATGGATAGGGAAAGAAAATGAAGAATGCTGCAAATAAACAATGTCAATCAAGCAGGAGAAAAATTCATCAGGTCATCGATTCTATTGTCGTTTTCGCCCGAGATAGAAAACACAACAACAACAAAATGCAAGCATTAATTTTTATTAACCATCATTACGTATTCTAAAATCGAATTAATTTTGATTAGTTACATTGTTATCGCTATTTCATATGACATTTAAGGGAAATGCAAAGCGCAAGAGAAGCATTGCATGATTAGGCAAACTAATAAAAACTAACAAATTACTATTCAAACTATGTCTGTTGGCATTTACTAAGGTGTTAGATAAACGAAAGTCAAATAAATAAATACATGTACAAAGGGAAACCAATTAATGTTACAAGTTTACTGTAAATATTCACAATGTTTCTCTTCATCTCTCTGTCTCCCTCTATTCCGGATCCTTTAAAACAAAGGCTTTCTTAAAAAGTATTAAAAAAATTGCATTTCGTAAGCTTTTCGTCCGTAACAAATACTAAACAATATTGAAAACGTTCTTTTGTTTACAACGTTCATTTTGATTCGCCCCTTCCCCTTCATTTGTATATAAAGAGCTTAAAAAATTGTGCCTCAGAGAAACGAAATGGAAATAAAAAAAAAAAATAATGCAGAAAATAAAACCATAAAAGGAAACTGAAGCCAAACTAGATGACCAAGAACATGAAATGCTTCCCCATTTCTCCCTCTTCATTCTCTAAATCACTCCACCTCAAACCTACTTGGAAAAGTTGTTTTTATCCAACAAGAAGTTAGAAAACTATTGATTTGATGATCATCACACCTCCAGTCTTACCAAAATCGTAGGGCCCAACATTTCGATAAAAAACCACTTTATACGCTTTTTTTGTTATTTAACTTTGAAGAGAAAAACAATATGAACCAAGCATCTTGCCGTACAATGAATTGACCAACCTCAAATAAATTATTAACCACGTCGACCATTTTCAATACATACACAAAGATCTCTCCAATCAAAAAGCTTTTACAGTGCCCGCAATATACATGTACCACACACATCAAGGGAAAATATATTGAAAAAACTCAAAGCTAAACTAAATAGCGCCAACTCATTCTGTACTGAACTATGCCAACAACAACAAAAGACAAACTCGAAACCGAGATAACGGACAACAGCTTTAGATACACACAAACAAATAGAAACAAAAAAAGATTATAAGAACTTGACCACCCTTCATAGAAGGAACCACTAACCAACCAAAAAAAAAGTCCCAATACGAGATAGCACACAATACTCTTTCATCCAGACAAAATAAATGATGATGGTTTGATGTCAATTTATGCGATCATAACTTTTTTCATTAGATTTATACGTTCTAAACGATATTTAATGTTTGATGTTTAAATAAAATGTTTTGATAAATGTCAAATAAAAAACGCACTGGTGATGGTGGTGGTGGTGTTGAAAGAAACTGTTAAACTTTTCGATAAAGAAGAAAAACCGGAGAGAAATTTTCTTACAATCGCTGCAGATTGATGACAAACTAATTTCAAAATATCCACTCCATACTATCTGAAGTTTATGTTAAACTAAGATTATATTCTGTACTTTTAGCAAATTGTAAGAAAGAATTCCCATCAACAAATACTATATTAGTTATGAAACCCTTTGCTGAAGAAAAAAAAAACGACAACAATAACATGAACCCATTCAACTAATTCTGCGAGGCCTGAATGAGAAAAGAAAGAATAGAAAAAAAACTTTTATGAAAAAAACTATACATAGAAACATTCATCTACGCAATTTTCGATGGCTTAATTAAACATAAACATTGAACTTGGATTTGTAATCACACGCTACAAATGAAATAGGGAGCATTAAATTGTCACTTAAACGGAATTACTCGACAAGAGTATTCCGCATCCATGTTCAAATGAAATCAATTAATTAGACAAACTTAAAAGAGTAAAATACAAAGCGTTTTCCTAGTTAATTACAACAACAACAAAAAACAAGCAAACATATTTAAAATTAAACAACCGATCATCATACACACCAAACCATCTCAACCAACTCAACCAAATTCAGAGAGAAAAACAACAAGAAAAAAAAATTACATTCATTCCACATATGTAACCATTGTATGTAAATTATTTGTCCTGAATATGATTAGGTGAATATATTTAATGCAGGCAAAATAAAAATCAAGAATATTTACCAACTACTTACAAATTTCTGAATGAAACCAAAGATTGTATAATTATATGAATTACCAAAATAAATTACAAAAATCCAAAGAAAAATCAATAATCATCTTGTTTTTTTTCTTCTTCTTCTTCTATTTAATGTTACTCAATTGGAAAAATGAAGCAATGGCAGGCGCTAATGTCATTTCGAATCGATTGAATCGAATTGTATTATATTCAGAAGAAATTTAGTGACTATTCCAAAAATATGAAATTTTGAATCTCAGCTGCTTCGCACAGCGCTATCTGTAGTCGAATGCCTTCAATCAAATATGCTATGTTTCTGTTTGCGATGAATGTCGATGTGTGACGTTTCACGCAAATGTCATCGAACGAATGTTATTTCAAAACTGTTTTGCTATACGACTTTACAACAGTACATCTCTTCGTAATTGAACTAGATTTTCTCAGATCTGTACGGTTTATAGCGTGAATTTATTGCGTTATTTCAGTGAAATTTTTAGCCATGGAGGCCCTTTATTTCGAAACAAATCGCCTGATTCAGGACACACAAGGCTACTTTCAACAATTGAACAATCCTCGAGTCGACACGTCAGAAGCAGAGAGCAATATTTTGAAAAATATTGCAATGGTCAATGCGTGAGTTAATCTTCATGTGTTTCTCTTTTTAAGCACATAATTTATAATTGAATTAGCTGAGAATGTGAAGTACTGTGCTCATTTTGAAATTATCTAATTAAATGTACTATCTCTTGTTGTAGAAACTGTGATCGCTTGGATGTGTTAGTATTCAAAGTGCCTGCTGCACAGAGGCCAAATGCAAAAATGCGCGTGGACCAACTGAAATACGATATAAGACATTTGCAGGTAAACAAAGGACACAATTTAATTGAATAGAAGAAAATTGCTACTTTTACACGTAAGAATCACACAAGAACCGTATCCTAATTTCTTCATTCCAATTTTTTCAGGCCGCACTGCAATCATGGCAGCAGAAGAAAGAACGCCGTGAACTGGAGCGAAGTGAACGAGAGCAATTGCTTAGCCGTAGGTTTACGGCAAATTCAGAGACATCAATTGACATTGATTACTCGTTACAGCATAACAATTCAATGATGAATGCACATCGAGGAGTAGATGATATGCTATCGTCTGGTAACAGTACACTTGACAGTCTTCGGTCGCAGCGTGAAAAACTGAAGGGAGTTAGCAAACGAATTCTCGATATGGGCAACACGCTCGGACTTTCAAATCACACAATGAAATGGATTGAGAATCGCATATCGCAAGATAAATATGTGGTTTACATTGGAATGGTCGTCACATTGTTAATTATATTCATTTTCATTTACTACTTCGTATTTTAAACAAGTATTTCCATATCAAAGTGCTTTAACAATGATTCCATAACGATTTAATCAATTTTTGCTATGTACATTGTACAATATAATGTAAACAAAATGTATGTAAATAAAAAACAAGTTTATTTTTAAATATTGTCTTCGAAAAAAGATGAAATCGTCGAAAATGAGATGTTTGAAGAAAAGAACATTTTTTTCCAGTTACTCGATGTTTTTAGCAATACAATTTCGATGTTATATATCTAATAGGTGCTGCTTCTTTTGTTAAGCTTCATATGACATCACAGGCTTTCATCAATTGCTATTTGAAGATTTCCGTTTCGGAATTTCTTATATGGAAATTTACGACATAGTCATTATCAATACGCTGAACACTTATTGCAAACGGCTCGAACGGGTGAAATGTAAACGCCACCAATCGGCGAACGGGCTGCGAACGTCGATCTTGTAATCCGGGATAGATTCGGAATTTGAGTAAACCAGAATCCCGACCAAAAAATCGTATTGGATACTCGCCACATGCTGAAACAGTCGATCGATGATTATTCAAAAGATCAGGAAAATAATTTTTTATTTCAAAAAAAAAAAAAGAGCTACCTTTTGGCCGCTCCAACATCGAAACCCATTTGTCATCGTAGCTGAATAAGCTTAGGTCTAAATACGGAGAATTGCTGTAGCTTTGAGCACTAATCGGCAATTGAGAAAGAAGTCTTTTGGTTGCTTCGACAATTCCACCACCTCTCGCACTAACAATTGTCTGTTTGAAACGGTTTTGTTGCAGTTTAGCGTAGAGGTTGTTATTGGGCGAGCAAGAAAACTGTGTTGGATGATGCATCCAAGTGTTACGAAAACAATCGCTGAAATTCTCGAACAAATATCTATTCAACGTTAGAAAAAATAGATTTTTTTAAAATTCAAAAACAACAATAAAACAATAAAGAAACGAATCAAATTAGTAAACTCACAATAAATCATCGGATTGATTATCATAGACGGCTAATACTTTACTATCCCAAATACTGTAGAAGACGAAAAAGGCTGGTTGACTATTTGGTTCGTGCGCCTTGAGTGTGACAACGGCTTCACTGGCATACTTAATTAGGAGTAGATTTTCATCCAGAAGTTGCATTTTCCAAATGCGTAACTGTCGATATTGATCGAAAAACTGATAAAATTTACGCAGAGGATATTGATTGTTGATGCGCTCCGATTCAGCCTTTGCCGTTCTATACAAATGTACTAAAAATCTATGTTTCAAGCTGCCAATTGTGGCTTCACGAATGGGCACTTGTGTCTCATTCACGGAATTGTATAAATACACATCTTCTTCGCTGCAAAATCGTCCGATTTTCAAAATATTGTAGAAAATTCCGTCTATCACTTCATAAAGGAAGATTGTTTGATGCTGCACCGACAAAACGGCAAACAAATTATTGTACAAATAGATGCCCTGATTGTGTGAAAGGAAAATTTTATCACATTTGTAATTGATGTGGCTGGTCACCCGACCCGTATGCAAATCCACCATATACAACGAGTAATCTTCAAGTGGCGACCTAAAAAAAATAAATGATTTTCTCTATCAATATCCATTTCAATGTCAACTCAGTGCGCTTTTTAGAATGAGTATTTTCACTTTCGATTGAAGTGATTGCATAAGCATTCCAATTACCTTAGCGTTGGTGTTATCCCGTCATTCGTTGTATATAAATCATAGAAGGGTGGCCTTTGATCATCCACAATGTATGAAGCCGCCCCAACAATCACATATCTACTTTCATTTGTGAAAAGACTACACTCTCGATTCAACTGTTTGCCTGCTGTCGCTACATTCACTGTTGCTTTCAGCTAAAAAAAAAAAATAAACACCACAATAAAAAAAAAAGTCCCCTTCGATTATTATGATCGAACGTAAACGCCATACCTTAAATAGCTTATCAAATATTTGACTTCGTATTGTGTACGGTAAGTCGGTATTTGTGTTTGGGACGACTTCAGTTTTCCATGCATTGATCAATTGAGCGGCTGCCACAACACCATTGAATTGGTAAATTTCCAATGAAGTCTGGTCTAAAGTGAAAGCAATCAGATACTTTCCATCTGGACTGAACTTTCTCAGGAATCCGGCTGGTTTTTCCACATTTATTACGGTTAAATTGGGATGAATACATTTGTAAAAATCACGAATAGCATGCTGATGTGTACCAGGCCGGTGTGAAATCCCATGTTCACGTCTCATCAAATGGCATACAATATTCTGCGGTCTGACTTTACGAGGAACGATATGCTCATTTTGATTTGGAATATATACACTGTCCATAATTTTCACTTCACAAAAATGTTATAAATAAAATATGAAATTTTCGACTCGTCTTCATTTAAACGTGTTATTTTTTTTTTCAGCGGTGAAATCAGTAAATTCATTCAATTTCGATAATTTAATGATTATTGCTAATGAGTTTTTGGATGACAAATCGAGTTTGTTTGTTTATTTGAGGTTATTTGTGTGTTTGTGTGTGTGTTGACGTTTAGCGTCTCGTTTGACGAGTTAATGAACTGTCACTGTCAAACTATGGAAAACGGCTTGCTTTAAAACGTTTAAAAAAATTAACACGACACACAGCCAAATAAAACAGAGTATTTCATGTTAATCGTTTACTGTACACAATTGGTATGCTGATGTTGTGAAAGTGGATAGCAAATTAAAGTGTTTAAAATGACGGAAAAAAAAATTTCGTTTGGTTTCAAGCAAGTAAAGAAGCAACTGGTGCTGTTGCCCAATAAAATCGAGACAAAGAATAATGACATTGAGCTGATTCAGTGTTTGGAAGGTCAATCCATAAAGTTGATCAATGCGAAAGAAGAGGAGAAACCACTTGTAATCCCATTGTTGAATGGCCAAAGAACATCAGCCGCACTTGCATCGCTGAAAAATCTCAAGAATGTGTTGGACGGTGATGAACAGAATGACGATGCAAATGGCGCGCAAAAACCCGATGCTAAACCTACCGAATCGAGTGAAACCGATGGCCAGTTGACGATTGAACAACGAGTTGTACGGGAGTTATTGAATGAAGCAAAGAATACCGACGAAGATAATGATGAAACAAATGGTGCAAAGCTATCGTTACCAATGGCAGCGGATAAATTACCACTCGAAGGTGCCAAACAATCGACAATGGATGATTATGACAGCATTCCGATTGCCCATTTTGGAATGGCAATGCTGCGCGGAATGGGTTTAAAGGACGAAGAGATCATTGCAAACAAAAATAAAGAAATCGAACTGCGGCCGAAGGGGATGGGATTAGGTGCCGATAAAGTGGTGAAAAAAGCTAAGCTTCTCGTGGCACCAGCTGCAAATGAAACATTGGAAATCAAGAAAAATGCCTACATTCGAATCATCGGTGGAAAAAATAAAGATTTATATGGACAAATTGAGGGATTAGATGACCATGCATGCCGTGTCATTGTTAGACTCGCACTTGGCGGTAACAGAGAAACACTCAACGAATTCATGGTTCAACCGGTTTCCAAACAAGAATACCTACAGTACGGAAAGGTTATAAGTGAGTATGAAATTTATTATCATTGATATGTTTCAGAACTAATTTTCTTTTTCACTTTTTTTTTTGCTGCAATAGATTCCGCTAAATACGACGAGTACAAACGAAAACAGGAGGAAATGGATGCAAAAAGGAATATCAAGCAAGAGGTTAAAAGAGAAATCAAGGAAGAAGTTAAAGAAGAGCACGAAAAATCGCGTAAATCTGTATCGCGTGAACGAGATGAATCCAAATCGAGATCTTATCGTGAATCAAATCCAAGACGCAGCAGAGAAAAAGGTGAAAAAAGTGAAAGAATTGATTATGGAAGCAGTTCACGTCGAAGAGAACGCAGCCGTGAGCGTAGCCGAGATCGAAGCAAGCGCAGTTCATCGTATGATAGAAACCGATGCAAAGACATTGAAAGGAACTCAACCAAGAATCGATATGAGAGTCGCCGTAGTCGTTCAGTTGATAAATATAACCATAAGCCATCTTCTAGCTCTCGGAGGGATCGCTCCAGAGAACATTCAATGGAACGGCCAAGAGACGATAAATCCAGGCGACGAGGCGAGAGATCAAAATCGTCGAGCATAATTTCCGTATCTGATAGCGATAGCTCAGATGATTCGCGACACGATCAACGTTCACATCATAAAAAATCTAAGAAAAAACACAAGAAGAAATCATCCAAAAAGTATGACAGCTCCGACAATGACGATCGCAGCTACAAAAAGAAAACGAAGAAGAGCAAACGCGAAAGGTCTCGATCAAGAGGACGTCGATAGAATTAAAAACAGTATAAATTCAATGATGTCCACCCCTGATGTAATTTTTCCAATAAAAATAAACAGCCAATTAAAACTTGTTTTGGAATTTGTCGATTTTATTCATTCAATAGATTAAATTGATTTTTAACGCATTTCGATGTAGGTTATGGATCTTTTTATAGGGCCGATTCTTTATCTCCAATGCTTTCTTCGTCGACTTCTGGGATGACGTTTCGATTTGGATGGGATTTTTTCGGTAATTTTCTAACACGATCATCAACTCGAATATACTTTCTTATGCATGGTGCAAGCAATTTGAGGTCAACCAGTGTGGAGTCACTGGCACCAGTGATAAACGTCCCCAAACCTGCTACCATCATTGTGGTTAGGCAACCGAAGGCAGTGTACCACATGTAAGAAATTCGATACAGCGCAAATGTTTCACTAAAGAATGGGGAAAAATGAGAGTAAAATGAACAAGAATATTGAATTTAAGAAAACAAAAAATGAAAGCTAAAGTAAAATTCACTTACGGTTCATCAATGAACACCGGATCAACCGCTAACTCAAAATCATATGAACAATTACTAATCGACATTTGTTTGTGCTCGAAACGAATAGCACCCGAAGCAATGGCCCATTGTGCGTTCAAGCTAACCCACGACATCGCAATCACACCACAAATTCCACCAATCAACGTATTCTGTTGAACAAAGTAATTATTTAAGGGATAAAATGATTGAGTAAAAAAATGGTTTACCGTTGCATTGATCCAGGGTAGAAGAATGCCAATGGTGAAAATTCCCAGCAATGGCCCGTTTGTAATGGCTTCCAAGCTCATAGTCAACTGAAGTACAGTTCCCATTTTTTGCACAACAACAACAAGAGCAACGCAAATGGTACCCATGACAACGACAACCATTCGCATAATCCAATTGATGGCTGTGTTTGATAACGGTTTCTTTACAAACGGTTTAACAAAATCTTCCAAAACGATGGCAGACCTAAAGAAAAATAATAAACTCAACATTTTTAAACTTGATGAGTGAGAATGTGTGCTATAACAGACATTGAATTTAAGCATGTCGATAGAGAGCTAAGAGCAGCGCTGAAAACCCCAGCTACGAATAAACCTGTCAGCCCATGAACACCACCAAGCGTATCCATCACAAACAGTGGCAATAACTGATCTCGAGCCGAAGCCAATTTTGTTGTCAATGGATCGCAATCTTTGTACGTGGCATAGATTAGCAATCCAATATAGGAACACAATAGCATCAGAGTTATTACACCAGAAATGAAAATATAGAGTGCAATTCGGCCTGCTCTTAAAGTGGGTAGCGCCAAATAGCGTTGAATCATGTTTTGGGAGACAGCATTAGCTTGTAGCCAATATAAAATGCCACCGACTACCTGCGACCATAATGAATGCCGAATAGTTGGATCAATATCCAATCTGATGAAAATACAAAATATGTAACGCAATTAGTTTTGTCCTGTATTTAATTTTTAATTAAAACTTCCTTACATTGGTGCTTCAATTCGACCAGTATTCCAAGCTTCGGAAAACACAATATTGGAGCCACCAACATTCAAAGTACCTTTAACTGCGACGATAATCAATGCGCCAAACATCGAAACGGTTTGAATAACGTCAGTCCATACCTACAGTATTTTTGTAAGGGATAAATTCCTTTCAATATCAATTTCATATACTTTGAATTTGAAAATGAAAAACAATAGACAGAGAGATCTTACGACAGCTTTCAATCCACCCTGGAAGTCAAAGGGAAAAAAGGCAATAAATGATCATTTGAACATATCCTCCTTACATATAAGCCATGGCATAATTTAAGGAATTTCGATTTTTGAGTATTGACAACTGCCATTTGATCTGGG